ACACACATACACACATATCCGTGTGTGTGCGTGCGTGCGTGTGTGTGACTTCAGCTAGCTGGTATTTTGCCAAGCTAATTTTCGCCACAATACTCATAAAAGTTGTTGGCTCAGTTTTATATACCCTGTACTCATTAAAAGTGGCCAAATTGGGCAATATTCATGTTGTCTCCGAGGTGAAAGCTAGGTGGCATACATATGTTTAAGCAAAGATGTTTAACTTACAATTAAGTAAAGTTTAGAGCTAAGAATTATATGATAATAACAAAAGTAAGTGAGACTAGAATTTGTTTTTGGCACATCCATAACTATTTAAATGAAATCTCTTCGTAACCGCATAAAAAAAATCACGGTTAAAAAAATAGTTGTAGCATTTGTACCACAGAGTATCGCTTAGTCGCGCACGCTAGCTTGAGCTATTTTGCTGCTGAACATTTTGCGATATTTGATTTTGGGTTAAATGAAAATTGTACGCATTTGATTTGCCTAGATTGGGCCACAAAGAATTCCATTTCCCGCCGCCCACTTGTATTATGAATCTCGAACCCTATTGAAGGGCCTGAGCTTGTGTACATTGTTGAGCTGGCATATTTGATTCGAAAATGTTGTTTTTACAAATGTTTTACTATTGAAGAGACAAGACTAATCAACTGAAGTTGGCATTTATTAGAAATTTACGATGATATGCAAAATCCAGCAATCGAATTGAACGGTTCGCAAGCATTCGGATGTTAATTAAATAAGTGACTATGCAATGATGTTAGCCAAATAAATATAAATGCAAGACCCAAGTCAAGTGTTGTGCACCCTTGGCTAACCGACTACAGACTTAATCCAATTAATGCGGAATTTAAATGCTTGGGTTCATTTGTCAGCCATGCGAGTGGCAACTCCGCGTATACGTGTTTCTGCCAGGACATAAGCACAACAGACAGGCCATGTTGAATCCAGTTTGCCGACGCAGCAACTCGATGAGTGGCACGTAGTCTGTATACCTAATATACAAGCTGTAGCTTCAGCATCTACAGCTATCTAACCAAAGGTTGCATCGTGGGAAAAGGAGTCTTTCTGCCGCACAGACAGTTCTTTTTTCTATGCTGACGGTCTCTGCATTCCAGTGGGCGTGTACTCTGCACGTAGCGGCTGTGTGACATTGGGCGTAATACGTTCTGTCCTCAACCCCCCCATCCCCCAAGCATCCATGCCCATGTCCGGGTCCAACCAAACTAAATGTGCATAGGGGTGGCCAACCAAAAATGGACATGGCGACGTGGGCGAACCACGGATGCGTGTGGTCCGAGCGGGCACACACATACATGAACAGACTCGCCCTCATGGGCTTGTGGCCTCGTTCTGTCGCTGACTTTCGACAGCTAAACTTGGTTTTGCCTAGAGCTGAGCATGTGCCAATGATTTTTTGGTAATAGAACCGCAAATTGAACCGAAATAGTTAACTGACTTACCGATGGCAGAGACCCCACGATGCCGACCCACAAACGACCTGTTATATAGATATAGAAATCAGTCAGGGAATTTTGATGGCGCGTTCATCATTTTATTTATTGTGTAAATATTTCGTTGTTGTTGTTGCTGCTGCTCGTCTAAATTTGTTTTTAACGTGTGCTAACATGGTTTATGCATTAGGCAGCATTTACAGTCAAATTGATTTACGCAGTGCCATAAATGCATTTCGGTTTGACTGAATAAACCTATATACACACACACACACACACACACACACATGCACACACACACGCACATGCTATGCACTCATGCAAGGACAATTTCAAATCAATTTGCGCTCATTTGAATTCGGCAAACCAAAGCGCAAACCGAGCGTGATAATTCAATAAGGTCGAGCGCGCAGCTCAGCGCGTGTGCTGGTGTGTAACAGTAAAAAAATTGTGTGTGTGTGTGTCTGCGTACAAAGTAACTTTCCGATTCTTTTGGGGCACGTGGGCTACGAGTAAGATATTCGCACAAGATTTTGTTGTAGAACCTAAGTTGCAATTTACACATATTTCTTCAAATTCATTTTCGGAACATTTATATGAAGATCAAATATCATATACAAAAATCCATCATGCATTAGTTTTTCTTCTCATGTAATTGTTTGAGTAATCGAGTCGCCAAGGCAACGTGTTTCAAGTTGCAAGTCAAATTTTCAACCAATGCTCTTTTTAGCCTTAGCCCGCAAGGGTATTTGTTTGTGATCTTATGAGATTTTTGTTTTTTATTTTTTGCTGCCATTGTGCCATTGCGTAGTCGTATTTGATTTACGAGCCGTGTCCAAATTGGTTCACCTTGCAGTCGCTTCAATTGTTTCGCCTGTCTGCACAGGTCGCAGTTGTTGTCCTCATGTCCTGCGAGCCTTACATATTTTCTTTGCTTTTTGGTTTGACTTTTGTTCCACTTGTGGCATGCGGCAGCTGTTCTTGTTTTTGCTGTAGTCCTTGCCAGAACAACAGATTTATGCAAAACTTATTTATTATTGTCTGGGGCAGCAACAAAAGCAAGCTGCTTATTTGAGCTAAGGTCCTTATAGTCTCAGCTCTGAAGCGGGTGTTGTCTACGCAGCCCATTGTTGTGCCTCCAAAGAATGTGTAGGGCTTCTGGCTGTACGAGCATTAAATGCAAATTTATGAGACTCCAATGTTACCCTCTTAATCACTTGCATGTTGTCTTTACATAAAAAGGTAATTTTTTTGATTTCCTCAGCTGGTTTCCCTCTGTTTGCTTGGCTTTCCATCAACAATAAGCTGTCCAGAAGCAAAGAACGAGCACAGCAACCAGAGAAAAGAGTTGAGTCAAGTTGAGTTGTGTTGAGCTGGTTGTAAATGTGCGAAAAGGCCAGATAAATTGGGTGTTATTATAACCAAGTTCATTCGGCCAGCTGAAGGGGTGGTCTGAAACGAATTAATGTGCTCAGCTGTGTGGAAGACGCACGCAGCCAAAGATGCACGGCTTTAAAGCATGTTTTAGTCCGATAGTCGATAGTGGGACCGATGTTTGGTCCACAGCTGACTTAATATTGTATAACTTAACAGGAAGAGAGCTAATGCATTTATTTTCTCTTGAAATATGCGTATTAAAATTGGCATTAAATTATAAAATTGTCAAAGGAGTCAGCTGGGCCAAAAAGATTGTGTATGTATTGTATTCCCTTTTAAGATTTTATTAAAATTAAGCAACTGTGTTCTTAAAAATGATTTGGCATATGATTTGGCATTTATCATTATTACATGTTATTCTTAATATTACTAATCAAATATGTTACATTGCATATGTGTGCAAGGGCATTAAATCTTCTAAGCTCTAAAAACTACACTTTTTTTGTTTAAATAAAATTCTTCTCATACGACGTGTGTTTCGCATCTTAATATTACGATAACTGCAATTGGAGTCAATGATGGAAAATGTGCATTAATTATGGCCAAAATGGATACTCGCGGGGATACCATTTCAGCATTGGCTTTCCGCCTTCTGGTTCAGTGCATGCATTAATGTATTCATTAGCATTTGCATAGATAATATGATTTCAAGAATTTAAATCAATATGCTGAGTTCATTAATTATCATAAATACACAAATACCTTCCAAATACCCCGCCAATGTGTAAATCAATTATGAAATTACGTAAATAATAATCCCGATTGGTACACACGAGTTTAATTGAGTTAAATTGATTCCTTAAAGAGATTCGCGGCTTTGTTACGCAGTTGCGATACTGAAAGTTTTGCCTTGGCAAATAATTCTGTATTGATATATATTTATATTTCAAAAATAGTAAAGTCATTCTTTTCTATTTATTATTATCATTTCTTCTATTTAGTATTAAAACAAATTTATTAAATAATTAAAGGATTGGATAATGTACCGTCTAACCAAAACCTGAACCACATATCACTTGATTTGATATTTTAAATATGTTTTGCTAAGCAATTATTTGGTTTTTATGTCTTAGGATATTAAAAAATTGATTGAGCTTATTCAAATTTAAGAAGATGCCAGGAAGCAAGGCTAGAACTTAAGATTGACTTTATGGATGTGCTTCACGAATCGCACCCTTAAGCGAGGCAGTGGTTCAAACAGTGAACCGAATTGCAATTCACATTTGTTGCACTTGTAGAAAGCATTCAATTGAAAAAAAATATCTTTAAGGCATTAATGTTTAACTACGATTTATCTACAAAATTGTTTAAAGAGCCACTCAAGTCGCAGTGCTTATATTCGTATTGAATGTTGCATGGCCATTTGATCTGTTGCCACAAACAGGCGCTTCAAAGTGCTTCGTGCAACTCAACTATTTAGAATTTGCACTGCTAAAAATGCGCATAATTTTTGCAGCATTTTGTTTTTGTCACAAAATGACAAACATTGTTTGGGCAAGGAAATGATTTGAAATTGACCGAAGGAAAAAAAGAAAATGCAGTTTGTTTTTCATCGTTTTCCATTTGATTGCACAAATGCAAATTGTAAATATTTATTTCCATCTGTATATTATGCAACCAGTACCAGCTGGTGCTTTGCAAATGGTAATTATACCCTGAACCCATTAAAAATGGGTATATGGGTATATCGTATTTGTGCAAAATCCAAATGTTTGTAACAGGCATAAGGAAGTATCTCCGACCCTATAAAGTATATATATTCTTGATCAGTATCAATAGCCGAGTCGATCTAGCCAAGTCCGTCTGTCTGTCCGTCCGTCCGTCGGTATGTATGAACGAAAGGATCTCAGAATCTATATGAGCTGGAGACTTCAAATTTTAGATAGAAGCAATCGATAAAAATCGATATCGATATCGTGTTTTTTGGGCAATTTTGGTAAATTATAAGAGCTAGAGTCACCAAACTTCTAAAATAGAATATATATCTGCATTTAATGTTGGAAGAAGAGGGTTCAGGGTATCCCCTAGTCGGGAGCTCCCAACTAGAACCTCTTACTTGTTTATTTAATTAACATTGCGCCTATATTTCAATTCTCATTCTTTTTCCAGGCGAAACAAGTTACTATATATACTGGGCTTCATTTGAGCAACAACTGATGACAACATGTTGAAACCGATAACCGTGATTATTGGAATTTTTTATTTGGGTGAGTTGTGTTTTCTGTGCAGAATTTTTTTGCAGGCCTTGGCCATTTGCATGATTAATTTCTTTAATTGAAATTCGGCATGCGAAATGCTTGCGACAAAACGAGTGACCAATTAATTAATCAAATTTGCCGGTTAAACGGTTTGTGCGTGAATATTTTTTGCTAATTAAACTGAATGAAATCTCTGATAAATGGTTATTTGATTGTATTTACGGTTGTGACATGTTTTTTGAGGTTTTTATATAACAATTTTCCATTTGCCAATTTCATTTCGAAATTCAATTAATTTCGCAGGTTGCGAGCATAGTGGCTCCAAAACTGTGTTATGGATTTATTCAGGAACCGACTCTAACTTTCTTAGCGAGTGCCTCAACCAGAGCTTTCAGTATATGAGCTTTTAGGCAGAAAGCAAACATTTTGGTTTCAGACCATGCTAAGCAAATGTACAAAAGCTTCACTTAACGAAGTGTACAAACTTGACAAATACTCGAATTTCGAAAAATTCAACGGATTTTTTTGGGCGAGACTTTTCCTTGGGCTGTGTCTTAGGTAAGGGAAATTGATTCCACACTAAACGAAAGGGCTCAAAGCTATACTAACTTATCGATATTATATCGAGACTTATCGATTTAGCTTTCTAAATGGCTAACGTATAATGCAAATTCAAATATTTTATGCAAAATATGAGATTGATAATGGTTTATTGCATGATACTATTTGGGAAGATTGAGATACGCATGTAGTTGCTGATTATTTATGACCATAAAAGCGCTGGAATACTTAAGGAGTTTCCACCCTCATGTTTGATATTAAAGCTATTAAATTGGCACATTAGAATAAGTTATTGCTTCGGAATACGTTATTATTGTCAGCAACATAACTTTTACAACGCTTCCATTAAAAATTAGAAAAGAAAGTCGCACGAGGGTGGAAAAATAACCGAAAGCAAACAGCAAACTATAATTATGTTTATCTTAATTATATTGCGTGACGTAAGTTTCTTATTAAGCAGCAAAAGCAACAAAGTCGCAGTCACATAGTCACCTGCCACAACAATCAAGCCCCATATATACGAGAAGCCCTTATGGAATTATTACCACATGCGAAAACCCCTGCAGAAGCCCGCACTCCGCTCACCCACTCCCCTTGCCCACCCACTTTCAGTCTTTTCAAACACACCCCCGGGAGTCGCAGACTTAGTCGCAGTCGCAGTTGGAGTTGGAGTCGCGTGTGGGAATCACAGCACGCTCCAGCAAGTCGCCACCAAGTGGTCAAGTGGCGCCTTCGCCCTTAGCTTTATTTGCATATAAAGCGCGTGGTGGCGCCAGCAAAGAATTGCCAGTGGGTTGTGGACCTCCATCCCCCTCCGCCACAAGTTTGTAAGTTTGTTTTTGATTTCTTGCGCCTCGCCGTCCCCGAAAGGTATGCTAAGAAATTAAGCACGTTGGCTGCTTGCGTGTCGGGCTGCCCGGGCGTATGCGCAATGCAAAGCAAATGTGTGACCCTTATGACACACGCAAATCAAAGTGCACGTCATTACCTTGATTCCCAACGACCCGTTACCTGGCTGGGGTCGTAACTCTGGGCGAATCAAGTCGAGTCGAGTCGAGTTGAGTCCGAGTCGCATCGAGTCGAGTCCGAGTCCAAGTTGAGTCAAGTGGCAGAAATTGATTGTCAGCGCTTATCGAATGCAAATAATGTCCAACGACAGGCAATCCCTTGAGGCGCTCTTGATCCATTTCATTTATGTTAATCAAAGCCGGGCAAAATCAATTGCTCAGCATTACAATAGTAAATAGAGGAAGAGGAAGAGACAGCAGCAGCAGCAGCAGCAGCAGCAGCAGCAGCAGCAGCAGCAGCATGCGGCCAATGGTGGCTGTGATAAATCAAAACAATTAAGTCGCTTTAAATTGAGACCGAATCAAAGAGAAGCCGCGCCATAAACTGCGTAGCATTAACCAAAGTCTCAAGTGGGGCTAATAAGCTTGAGACAGCGCTAATTTTACCCTCATTAAACAAACTGACATGGCAGACAAGTTGAGGCCAAGGCAGAAACTCTCTTTACTGGCAACTGGTAACTGGTAACAGGCAACGTTTTAGAGGCTCAATAAACCCGAACCCGTGCTGGCCGACCCCATCGACCGAACTTGTCTCGACCAAAAAAAAAAAAAGGCTGGCTGCGAGCGTTGCCGTTGCCATTGCCATTTTGGCAGTCATTAACGGCAAACTGCTTCATCATTTAATAACCCAAAAGTGAGCTGGTTAAATGCCGAGGCAGCCACGGCTGTTGGCCCCAAAAGCAACCAATGCTAACCTCCAACACATACACACACACACATACACACAAAGAGATCCACAACAGCTTGAGCACCGAACAAAAAAAAAAAAAAAAAGGAGAAATGGCGTAGAACATGCCACACTTATTTTTATAGATTTCATTTTAACGCCGAAAAGGCAAACGCATCAAGACGGCCCGCTACCCGGACCCCTTGCCACGCCCGCCAACAGTTAATGTTTGTGTATTCTTGCTAGCTACGTTTCCTTGGCAAGCGCATAGCTGGCATGCCTACATCAAATTGGCAAGGCGTCAAGCCAGCCAGCCAGCCAGCCAACCAGCCAGGCAGCTGGTGAGCAAGCCAAAAGGGTGAAAAAAGGGTTCATTATGGCAATTTGCTTAAGCTCGTATGCCCAAAAGTGTTCCCAACCCAAAACAACCCACCAGGTTTAAGGGAGGCCTATGGAAACTTGGAGCTTGTGTCTTTTCTCCCGTTCTCCTTCTTTATTTTTTTTTTGCGGGCATCTTTAAAGCCTACGCAGCGAAAAACGCGCGCATAATTTGGCGGATTTTTTTGGGCCTCTTCTTGGGAAGGCGTCCGCTTGGCCATTTCGCACACATTGCGCCGGCAAAGTTCATAAAATATAATGATAAGCAGCATTCGGCTTGGCCTGGTCAATGCTGGAATGTGTTTTGGCTCTTAAGGCTGGCTCACGCGCTACCCAATGCTGCAGTTCAATGCACCCCAGCGGCGGCTTTCCCGGCAGTTGCCCTCATCCAAGGTGCCCCTGTAACATGCCTTTCTTACGCCCAGCTCGGCTTTTGCTTACCCATTGATATTTATGACTTGATTTCGGTGAGGCACATACATTTTTTAATTGCTCATTTCTTTATGGCGCTTTCGATTGCTGTACGGTGAAATATTTGAAAATGCACCTAAGTGCATAAGGCAGTTTGTGCGACAATTGCAGCCGCACTTGAATAATACACGAAACCCACGCGATTTGAAACACACGCTGCTAATGCAAGTTTTATATGCATTAATGACATTAGCTTAAAGTTGGAGAAATGCTTAGAATAAGCCCTTGGGAAGAAAAATCTTTTATAGCAGAACGTTTCTGCATTTGTTATTTGTTATTTTCAAAAACTGTTGACAAATTGTTACAAACGCCACTGCCAAGCTCAATTAGCTCGGAGCTAATCCCCTCTCCTCCCCTCATTACTGAATCATCAATTTAGTAAATTTAGCTTTGAAGCTTTTATGACATTTTTTTCAGAAGCCTATAAATACTTTTATTTTCTAACCACAAGGATTTAACAAGCAAATTAAATGTTTAGCAAATATTAAAATTTTCTTAAATGTATTTATAGGCCCTTATTAATCTAATCTACAAACTTTTCCAAACTTAAAATTAATCCAAGGTCATAAAAGTCTTATAAAGGGCCTAAATAAGCTTACGAGGTAGATTAATTACTTAATCATATATTTTGCAAGTGGTTAACAAAGCTTTCAGGAGCTTTAAGCCCAACTTTATTAATATGCTGTGGATCTTATGAATATATTCTTAGTTTAAGGACTTGAAAGTGAGCGTTAAGCTTTTAAGAGCTTTAAGAGCTTTATTATAAAACTTTGAGGAACATACAATTTTAAATGCGCATTTTCTTTGTCCTTTTTGTAATCTAATCTATGAACGCAACTTTAACCAAATGTCATTCGACTCAAGCCATAAATGTCGCCTTTGCCCAGTTGTCGTCTGTGGTCGCCGGAAGTCAACCGCAAGCCCGCGGCTTGGGTTGGCGTGTTCTGTTTTCTGTCGTTTTTATTTCTTGTGCGTTTGCGTTATGCTTAATTATATTTGCATGTGCCTGAACAATTGCTGGCGGGCTAGGCTGTGCATGAGATTGTGGCTTGAAAATCGTCTGGAGCTACGCATTTCAAATATTGTTAACTGCGCTTCAGAGTAGCTCCGTCATCCGGCAAGCACTCGACTGGGCAGTCAGTGAGAGTTAGTGGAGCAGACAGGCGACATGGCTGACGCTTTATTTCAATGTCCTTGCGTCATCGTTGACTGTTATCCTGGGCGAATATTGTCAACGACATGATTTGTCAGCCTCAGTCGCGTTTAATGAAGCACCCGATTTGGATTGCGGCTTTGATCGATTGCCCAGCACGTTCTCTGACATTGTCAACCAGCTGGTGTGGTCCTCCTGTCCGTCGTTATAGTTGTTGTTTTTGTTGTTTGCCCATTAATGGGTAATAAGTAAATTGCGTGCTGGTCGCTGGCCGCTGGCCGCGTCACATTCGCAGTGATTGCTCACTTTTCGACACTGTCGTCTCGACTTTCAGCGAATAAAGCGTTCGACGTTTGACGTCTGACCGTTCAGGACATGAACTGACGACAACTCCTGAAGTGGCCCGACGTGCCCGACCATTAATCAACGCAGACAACAGAGGTGGGTGAGGGCAGTCGCGGCAGGTGTTGGCTCGCCACTGGGCGTGTTTCAGCTATTTGTAAATTCCGTTTGCATTTTCAATTTTTCTTATAATATTATTATGAAGACATTTCGTGTCGATGGCTGCAGTCGTAGCTGAAGCACACGGCGTATGCGTAACGTATTGTTTAGTCGACATTTGGCGTTTTGTGTGCCAAGTAATTAGTGGCAATAGCAACGGGAAAGAGGCTAGGGCTGGGACTGCCGCCGAGCCAGGCAACGGCCAATATGGTTATAATGTTTGTTTTGGAGGTTGCTTCCTGCCA